TTGTGAATGCTGGTGCTAGACCCACGGCCTGCCACAAACGCCTTAGCGGCTACACAGCCTCAATCTTATTAAAGTAGAGGTACCTAAGCCCAGGGGTAATAATGTATATGAATGTAAGTATCAGTACATCTCCGGAGGGTTCATTTCCAAGAGCCTCGACCGTGACCGACCAGTAGTGCCCAGATGTAAATTACATGAATACTGGGACCATACCATACCGGGCATGAGGCCCCCAATTGCACCAATTTGGTACTGCGCCACGCCAGCCCCCCCAGAAATATTACCATACACGTACCGTTGCTCTATCCTGTTTCTGCCTGTTGCTGTTGTTCCTGTTCTTTGCTCTTCCTCTTGCTGCTGTTCTTGTTCTTGTTCTTGTTCTGTTACTCTAATCTTGTTCTAATGGGATCCAGTGAATGAACATCATCCACTCTTCCAACTCTTCCAACTCTTCCAACCTTTTCAGCTGAACCAATAACCCCAATTTATCAACATTCCTCCTCTCCTCCACCGCCCCAATCCAGCTCTCTCTCAGCCAACTTCGTTCCTGCGCAACCCGCACCCGCCACGGTTCCAAACTTCCACACTTCCACGCCTGATGGCCTGGCTCCATTCAAATCGCCAATCTCCTTGATTCTACTCCCCATTTGCTATTTTAACACAAGGCCCAAGCCCCCCCTAGGCTTTCCAAGTGGATCTTCTTCTGGGTCCATCAACTCTGAAAAGCTGAAACCAACCTCGTCAGCTTGCGCCACACTTGCCTGAAGGTGAAAGTGAGTCTAAACGCCCCACACGCCCTGGACTTCGCCTTCATCCTCCTCCTCTCACCCCCGTCTCTCGTTCGGTTGTTCCAAAAGCTCTTGCGGTTGGTTTCTTCCTTTCCCATTTCCCCTTTCCCTAGACACCTCCCATGCTCTCTTCCGCCGCGTGCATCCTCTAACATGTCTTCGGAAGTAGCCATCGCCTTGGTTCGTCCACCCATCGAGGCTGGCGCGAAACCTTCTGCCTCCATGGCGGCATTGATGCACTCCAATAACGAGACTGTCGCCATCTCAAACCCCATTTCCACCTCTTCCACCTCTCTCTCTAGTCCGGAGCCTATCGCCTTTCTCAAAGGTCACTCAAAACCCGACACCAATCTAAGCTCCATCGCCAGCGCCGGTCTACACGTCTCGCGATCTCAACCCCCTCAGATGACAAGCCCAGCGACGATGCCGGCGGATCGGCCGGCAGAACAAGATCGAGAACCCGAAAGAAACAGCACACAGGTCGCCCGCGAAGCATTGGGGGCTAGCGAGAGGTCTCCGGCCCCCTCCATCCATGAGCCTTCGCTTCACGCATCGCCGGAACAGATGCAGGTAGACTCACACCCGAATGACTCCGCGTCAGACCCTTACAAATCAATCGATCACAACTCCAACTCTCTCATGCACACATCAACCGTCGCGAGCCCAGGTCCCATCGAAGACTCAGCTTCACAGGATGGTGATCGACCGCGTCCTCGGGCGGTCTCGGATCTTGACCAAGACAGCAATAAAGCCTTTTCGTATCCTATGCCCAGTGGCGGTCCAGGGATGTTGGCGGCGAACAGCCCGCCTGTAAACGCTCGTCGCCCAAGCCTGAGCGATCCGCGTCGCGGGCTTAGCTTGCCAGATGCAGGCTATAATAGAGGGAGCCCGCGCTCGCCTTCCGCAAAGAAGCACCGCTGCCCCTACTGCGCCACAGAGTTTACACGACAACACAACCTCAAGAGCCATCTGCTCACCCATAGCCAAGAGAAACCTTTCGTCTGCCAAACCTGCCAATCTCGCTTCCGCCGATTACACGACTTGAAACGACACACCAAACTCCATACAGGCGAGCGCCCTCATATCTGTCCGAAATGCGGGCGTCGATTTGCTCGCGGTGACGCGCTTGCGCGCCACAATAAGGGTCAAGGGGGCTGCGCTGGTCGCCGATCCAGCATGGGCAGCTTTGCAGCCGACGACGACTACGGTGACGGCCACCCGGCAGATGACGCAATGAATGGATTGGTCTACGCTGAGCCAGAGCGTATGGATGAGGAGGACGAGCGACGACTCAACATGCCGGGCATGCGCAAGTCCGATGTCGATTCTCTCTCCAGATCCGACTCTCTCCACCCCCGCCCGCCTAGTACTTATCCACCGATCGCTGCTGGCCGTGCTCTCTACCCACCTCCAGGCTCGCACGGTGGATCTGGATCATCGACAGCAGCGACCTCACAACCTTCAAATATGACTTTCCCACCCGCAGGTCATACATCTGGCTCGTCCATTTTCGCCCCAACAAATGTCGGCGACAGCCCTAAGCCACTTTCCCCGAACTCCCTCTCGCATCACGACGGAAGCACACAACCTCACCGCGCACACTCCCCCGGCATGGCCCAGTCCTTGCCTCATCCTCAACCATCTTTCGCTCCTCGAACAGCGCAGCCAAACCACGCCCCACCCCCACCGGGCTTGGGCCTGCCACCACCAACCGGAGCGCCCCATCTCCCCCCGCCCGTTATTAGTTCTCCTGATGCCAGATACGGTCTGCAGGCACCAGCGAAACACACATCACAACACGGTCATTCTGGTTCTCATCACGGTCCACCAAAGGTGGGGCTCGATGGCCGGAGTCGAACAATGACCCCAGCCAAATCGATAAGCTCTGGCAATATGTTCGGTCCATGCACGACGAGATGGTGGGATTACGAGAAGAGGTTGCGTCGTTGCGTGCCCATATCGCATCGACCTCAGCGCCTCAACCGGTGGAAGTAAATCAACCCAATTCAGGTCCGCGATGATAGTCATATGATGGTCATGTATGATACGATACGGTCTTATCTCGCCTAGCCCATCCCATGGGATCCTATTCTTTAGGAAGGAAAAACCCACCATTTCCTGCGCCCTCTTCCAAATGTGTCGATATTTCTTGTCGATATGCTTCTATTCCAATCCTCTCCTCTGAGTAGGATGGCACTTCTTCAATGTCTCATGATCAACGTCCCGACAGTTGCCGGCGTTGGTGGCTTTCCTTCGTCCTTTTCCGACCTCTACCCTTTTTCGCACTAATCGATATTGGCCCCTTTCCAAATGGCAAGGCCTTGCCTCGGGCTTGCCTTGAGCCTATGGGCCTGGGCTATATATATCTATCTACTCTTTTGAAATTCCCCTCCTTTTTCCTTTTTTTGATCTCCTTTTTGTCTACAAATTCTCTTCTTGCGAGGTGTTCTCTTCAATGGTCAACTGGGGGAGTTCGGCGTACTTCCACTTCCAAGGATGCATGGAACGACCCTGGCTTGGGGTTTTCTAGTCTTATTCCATTTTCCTTTTCTTTATTATCCATATCTTGACCCCCCTCAACCCCTCTCACTCTCACCACCACCCTGACCCCTTTTCACTTCTCTGTCCAGCTATTTATCCCTAGGTAGTGATAATACCCAATTTTCCAGTGTCTAGTAATAAGCATAATCCGAGTCCTCCAGTAATGTTATGTTAGTTAGCATGGATCACTGATTACAATATAATTAGATCCAGAATTAGAATTAGATCACATTAATGTTTAAGCTTCAATCCATCTCGCCCCATCTCATCCCCCCATGCACAAACATGTGGAGTCGATCCGAGACTCCTTCCCCACTCCCCCAATTGTTGGACCGAGGCTCGCTTCAACCCACCCCTGCCTTGAAATACCCCCGGAGCTCCGGCCACTCCGAGTGACCTTCCAACATCGCATCTACATCTAATCCATCCACCACCAGCTTCAAATTGAACAGAGCTCAATTCTCGATATAAAAACTTGAACCAAACGAATTCAGTTCCATAAATAACTCGAACTCGAAAATGTCCGCACCATCCGGAGCCCTTACAGCCTCGGCTGTGTCTTTTGTTCTGCTTTCCATTGGTCACACTGTACGTACTACTTAACTAGTTAACTGGTCAACTTGACCTACTACAAGCCCTTACGAGTTGATCCCCTCTCCTCTCCCCGGCCCACCGAGACAAGTCCCATGGATGCATCTGTATTCAAGCTTGAACCTGCATTCGTCTTATACAAACCAGACCAAGATCAGACAATACTAACAACCCCCAGATCGGCGGCAAAGAATGGCAATCCGACAAAGTCTTCAAAAACATCAAAGGAAGCCGAGCCTGGGCCTGTGGAAAGGTCGGCTGGTACCAGGTAATCCCCCACCTCACACCCTTCACCCACTTACCCTACTCCCACTTCCTCTCTCCATCTGGCCCAATCTAACAAATGGCTACCTGCCCGGCTGGGATATAGGGAAGCGCATTCCTCTTCCTCTCCGGAATCCTCCACTACCAATGGTCCCGCAACCCAGCTGCCCTGGCAGATCCACTGAACAAGGCCATGGCGGCTATCATTAATGTCTTGCTTTGGTCTAGCTCGGCTTGGTATGCTAAAAATGGGATTTTGCCGAATCTTGTTGGTTGTGGGTTGGCGGCTGGTTTGCAGGCTTTTGGCGTTTTGAAGGAGGTGCTTTGAGTGAGTGGTGGTAAGGGTTATCAGCAATCTTTCAGGTGGGCGATTCAAAGCTTACTTATGCGGGGATTTAAATTGAATGGGAAATGTAGATAGAAGACTCGGACTTAGGTTCAATTGATTGACTGTTATAAATTCAGGTTTTGATGACTACTTTATTTCCTAGTATTCACTAGGTAGATTCCAATCACTAATAGATCTACTTATTCTATGGCACATTTTTAGTTGGAGAAATAGTCACTCAATAGTGTTCATTACGATTGATAGGGATTATGGTGCTTTGACTGTATGAACAGAAAAAAAGTCCAATTGCATGCGTGGGTGTTAGTCAAGGTAGTAAATGTAAATTCCAGCCAGATAACGAGTATTACTAGTATTATATTAACTTCAAATTGACCAACTTCGCACAGTAACGACTTGAGTACGCCAACCTTCGATTATAATATATCAAAATGCATTCCCCCTCCACTCCACCCCTCGCCTTACCCAGACTACGATAACGCTCGCCGCTTCGTACTCCAATCAATAAACAATCCCACATCCGCAACAACCGCACGAGGAACACCACCAAGAGTCCAATTCCTCTGCACCCACTGCGGAATCAACCCACCAGCATCAGAGGTAGTCGCCATAGTCCACTGAATGAGCGGGGGAGACGTGCTGCTGCTGCTGCGATGAAGAAGACACCGGAGGACGATTCTTCTTCGCAACACGCTCGACACTAGCATAATTGGCGAAAATTGTACGCCTCGGTACGGCCGATTTGATCTTTTCGTGAATTGCCGTGGGCGTGGTTGTTGGGTCTGGGTGGAGGGGTATTTGGACTGTTATGAAACCTTTTGATGGGTAGGAGGGTTCGTTGCTGTGTGCGTCGTATGTGGCGGATATTGTGAATGAGATGAAGGAGCGGGGGGATATTAGGGCTGTTGGGTGGAAGGTGTGAGTTATTAGGTTGACTGTTGGATTTGATTAGCCTTAGCACTTGCTGCAAACAACCCCTCGCCCCCAAAATATATGGTTTGGACGGTGTCATCGTAGGGCACTCACCCTCAACATCAACATCCTTAAACGTAACCCCATTCATATCCAACTCCCCAATCTCTTGCTCTGTCCACTGAAGTAACCGCTCAACACCAGTAACACTGGGCGTATATTCCATTTCATGCTCAGCATGCTCCGACCGCAATCCATCTTCGAATTCAGTCCACGGCGCGCTACCAGCGACAGCTGCGTCCGGGTGTTCACTTTGACGACAGACCCAGAATTCAGGCTTTCGCTTCAAGTTGCCAGTGGATGGAGATGGAGATGGAGATGGAGAACTTGAACTCGAACTTGGATCTGGCATTTGTTCATATTTGCGCCATTTTTGAGAGAGTCGGATGTCTGCGTATGCTGGGGGTGAGCGGCGTGGTTTGGGGTCCTTTTCCCAGGTTGGAAGGTCGGAATTTAGTAGCTCGAGAGCTTCTTGGAGTGCGGTGCTGGCGACGTGTTTTGCTTCTGGGCGTGGGGGGCCAGGGGGAAGGGATGGGTGGGAGGGGAGGATTGTGAAGGGGTGAGGGTGGAGTTGGATTAGGGGCATCTTGGTCAGCCCTGGAGGGGGTGAATAATAGCACTGCTAACTTGAATGGGGAACTTGAAGGGAAGGAATCTGGGGAAAAGGAGGAACCAAAGCTTGAGGGACCGAGGGATCGGCGGAGCTTGTTTGGTTTGTGGTTCGCGCTGTGACGTGCCAGTGGTGGGGCGATCTATTTGCATATATGGAGATGGTAGGGATAGTGACAGTGACAGTGATAGGGTAGATATTTATATTATGTATTTAAAGGGTATCATCTTATATCTTGTGGAATCATCCGGCAGTCATACGCTAGATGCAGCGGACTCCAGGTCCTACACTGCCTGTCTCAAAGATCTCCACGAGGCCGGCCCCCACGGTTTCCTCCAACACCCAGCCGAACTGCATGCCATATAGATCTTTCCATTTCTTCGTTTTTCCTGGCAAAATACCCGCAAATTCCCCGCGGGCCCTCTTGGCTAGATGGAAGCTCTTTTCGGTTTCCACTGCCCCATCCCAACGATCTTTCAGTAAGCCCATGGGGGCCTCGCTGCAGCTGGACCGTCGGAGAAGAGCCAGCATGTGAGCACGACCAGCGCCTAGCAACCGAAGATATGTCCCAGTATTTGGCAGCGACAAAAATAGCGTCGCGGCGCGAGATTGGGCATCGGTCTGTACAGATCGGTTGGAATCAGAAGATCTAACCGGTTCGCTCCGACTGGCCGATGAAATCGCTGTGGTGGGCAATTTAGGAAGAGACGCAAGACTCAGTGACCCTTGTGTGAAAGAAGAGGATGATACGAGGAATCCTGCGCGCATCAGTGCCCTATACTCTTCCGGTTTAAATACGCTCTGTGAAATCGCAGAATTGGTTCCGATGCGGCCAAGTATGTCGAGGAATTTCTCTAGAAAATAGCATGTCAGCTGCATGTCCCTCACATTACTAGCAACCCCGGACCAAAACACATACCCTTGACATCCGCATCGAGAGCTGAGCTCTCACGCACCAACTTTTCCCACTCGTCCGCAAGAACCAGGCAATCACCTAGCCCGGCTGCATCATTGCCCCGGCCTGGAACGACCAGACGCCGAACTCGGCCCGCCTGAACCAACTCTACGATCTCCCTTTCCACCTGTGTGGGCGAATCGATCAACATATGCACATGTGCCACCGACGCCAGCGGAGGCAATGACCGTCGTAAGTTAAGGACCTCCGCAATGCGCGTGCTATTCATCCCAGCTCGAGCGGGGAGCTCGTCGAACATTTTTGTCCGAATATACTCGATTGCTTGAACGACATTCTCAACGGATGCAGCATTTGATATATAATGCGATACGCCTATGTCTGGAAGAGGGTCGTTATCATCAAGCAGACCCTCCTCGGCTGCCCGCTTCACGCCACTCGCTGCGGCGGAGTTTGGTTTGCGTCGGGCATGGGCGGCAAATGGGGAGGTGGCCTGGGGCTTGCGGACGGCTGGCTTGCGTTTCTTGACACCGGAGACTGGAGCTGAGGTGAGACGCAAGGGCATGCCTGGGAGGAGTTGTTCTAATGTTGAGAAATGATGTGATGAAGGAGCCTCGTTATTGCCAAGCTCCTACATTTAAGATTACCTCATCCATGTCAGGTGACTGCGCTCTGAAAGCATAGCCATCGCGATTGTCATTTTTAGAGCTTAGATAGTGTGGTATGAGCGAAGTATTTTTCTTTGACTTTAAATGCCGCATTCTTGGCAATTGACAAGCGCTATTAGTACTTCAGCAAGGACAGGCCGATCAAAACCCGCTGCCAACCAACACTCCCGGAATGTGTCAAATCAAACCACCCCCTTCCCACATTGAGAACCGATAGCAAACAATATACTACTACTAGTGCTAAATGTAAATAGAATGATTTAGCTGCTGGGCTCAATATAAACCTTGGAAGAGCGAAATGACACCTTCACTGCCGATCAGGCACTTCCTTTTTCATAGAGATCCCGCCAATGACATCAAATGCCTCATACCCTGGTATATGTAATACCGTAATAGAACATCAAGACCAAGGTGGAACCACCGGCAACTTGTACGGCCCCGTATGATTCAATACAGCCGCCATCCAGTGCCTTGGAAGCTCTGGTTCTCGCCCCGCGGTCTCTTTCTATGCCCAAAAAAAAAGAACAGAACAAGCAGAACCCCCGACTGCTGCCTCTTAAACAGTTCATACACCCGGCCCTGGTGAACCCGATACATTCCAAGTAGTCTACAACTACTCACCGGAGTACCGGACCACCTGATCTACTTTCACATGACGTAGCCATGAGAAAACAGATCTTAACTTGATCAACTTTTCTTGCTTCTTGCTAGTCTATGACAGCTTTATACCCGACACAAGGGTTCTTGCTCTTCACTCGCTATCTGGCTGATACTTCTTTTCTTCAATCGCTTTACGCGAGGTCCCTATCGCGCCGTGCCCGCCATTCCTGTCCCTCTGTCGAGGTTGGCGTTCCACCATGACGGTCTTCATCGCGTCTCTGTAAGCCACCACGAAATAAATCTCATGTCTCCACCCAATTCAAGGCCAGACCCTAACCTAAGCCTTCTGTCAGCTTTTTACCATACACTGTCAACTTCCACGTTGAAAACTCTCGCTATCGCGCCGTTCCACCTCCTCCGACCGCCGTTAATAATGCGGGGGTTGACTCGGCTCCTCCGCACCCCAATGCGGGAGCCAGTTTATTCGAGCAGAACAACCCTAAACCTCAGCAAGGGTTAACCCCCGGTGCGACAACCGACCATGAGCGGATATTTACAAGCAACCCCGGGCAGCCCGAGAAGGAGGAAGCAGGATACTTCGCGTTACCCACGATTCCGGAAAACGCAGAAAGTCAACTCCTCACCGAGAGTGAAGGCCATTCTCCAGCATGGGGTGCAACGACATCGCTGAATCAACCGAAGCCTCAAACACTCCTCTCGCCGTCGCCGTCTATCTTGAAGCACCAGGATCCTGTTATGCCTAACAAGGATCCTGCGCCGAAGACCCCAGAAGCAAAGCCAGCCAATCCATACCTCGGAGTCATCAAGCCGGAGATGTTCGCCCGCAAGCAGTCATTTTCCCGAGCGGATTGGACCGTTGAAACAGCCGAGCAAGGAAACGGTGGTTTGCGGAATGCCGTTCGTTCCGCGAAAGAGTCTGGATACCTGGGTGAACTGATGTGGGTCGGCACTGTGGGAATGCCCACTGATGCGCTGATCAATTACACGCGCACTGAAATTGCCGAGAAATTGGAAGACGAGTACGACTCGTTAACGGTGTTTGTTAGCGATGGTGATTTTGATGGACACTACACTCACTTTTGCAAGACGATCCTTTGGCCCGTTTTCCATTACCAGATTCCAGACAACCCAAAGAGCAAGGCTTATGAAGATCATTCGTGGATCTACTATGTGAAGCTGAACCAGGAATTTGCAGAGAGGATCGCCAAAAACTGGAAGCGTGGCGATTCGATTTGGGTTCAGGATTATCATCTGCTGCTTGTTCCTGCGATGTTGCGCAAGATGCTGCCTGATGCTGAGATTGGATTCTTCCTACACATCGCGTTCCCGTCATCGGAGGTCTTTAAATGTTTGGCCCCGCGGAAAGAACTTCTCGAGGGTATCCTCGGCGCCAATTTGATCGGTTTCCAGACGACCGAGTACTGTCGCCACTTTTTGCAGACCTGCAGTCGTATTCTCTGCGTGGAAGCCACCAATGAGGGCATTCAGATGGAAGATCGTTTTATTAACGTTGGGACTTTCCCAATTGGTATCGATCCAACCTCCTGGGACAAGCGTCGTAAGGCGGCCGATGTCGAGAGATGGGTCGATACGATTTCCGATCGTTACCAGGGCAAGCGGCTGATTGTCTCACGGGATAAGATTGACTCTGTCCGGGGTATTCGGCAGAAGCTGCTCAGCTACGAGCTATTTCTGAACACATATCCAGAGTGGGCAGATAAGGTTGTTCTCATCCAAGTGGCAACCAGCACCACAGAACAGCCGGAGTTAGAGGCAACCATCTCTGATATTGCCATGCGCATCAACTCCAACCATTCGACTCTGGCACACCAGCCCTTGGTTTTCTTGAAACAAGACTTAGCATTCCCTCAATATCTTGCACTCATCACGGTAGCGGACGCTTTAATGATCACCAGTCTCCGCGAGGGCATGAACCTGACCAGTCATGAGTTTGTGTACTGCCAGGATGGCAGTTACGGCGATAAGAAATATGGATCACTCATTCTCAGCGAATTCACAGGCAGTGCATCAGTATTTGGAAACCACGCACTATTGGTCAACCCTTGGGATTATCGACAGTGCGCGGAGGCGATTCACACAGCACTCACTCGGGATGAGAAAAAGAAAAAGGAGGTATGGGAAGCACTGCACCGCGCAGTACTGCAGAATTCGACCGCCAACTGGGTCAAGTCCTTCAATGAGACTTTGACTCGGGTTTGGAACGAGCAATCTTCACGAGAGATCATGGCCGTGCCGCGACTATCTACGCCGCGACTAATTGAAAGATACCGACAGTCAACGCGCCGGCTCATGATTGTCGACTACGAAGGCACACTCGCCTCATGGGGATCTCCACGTAGTATCATTCTTACCACGCCCCAACGCGCAATCACAACCTTGACAGAATTAACCGATGACCCTGCCAATATTGTCTACGTGATGAGCTCTCGCATGCCCGAGGAAATGGAACGGTTATTCCGCCAAGTCAACCACCTGGGCCTAATCGCCGAGAACGGATGTTTCGTTCGCAAACCCGATTCCGATGAGTGGTCGAATCTTGCCGACAAGCATAGCATTCAAAAGTGGAAGACTGCAGTCTCGCCTATCTTGGCTTATTTCAAGGTGCGCAGCGAGGGGAGCTGGGTGGAAGAGCGACATTGTTCCCTTGTGTTTCACCATGGATCGGCCGAAGACCGCCTTAGTGCTGGACGATTGGCTGCCGAATGCGCGGATCACATTAATGATGCATGCGCTGGTCATGGTGTACATGCGAT